TTTTTTGTGTGTGACAGATCTACTTTAAGCAAAACATATTTAGTCTTAGGCCCCCAACCTTCTATTAGACAGAGAAGGAGCAGTAGAATACTGATAACACATTCCTCTGTTGTCTCCTCCTGTCATCATGTTCCTTGTCAGCTTATGTGCATGTAGTACACCCTACTATCTCCTAATGCTGTCCAACCCTCTCCCACATAAAGTGCTGCTGTATAAGGGATTGCAAGAGATTGCCGATGCATATGCGTTTGGCTCGACTGAGCCGCTCGGCCATGTTCGGGAGCTGTACGGGCTATTGTGAATAGCCCGTACAGCACCCCTTCGGTTCTACTGAACCGAAGGGGTCCTGGGGCCGAAGCTAGCGTAAGGATCGGCCGAAGCTACGGCCAGATCCTTCGGCAGCTTCGTGAATAGACCCCTAAGTCAAATGCTGGTACACTAGCTGCACTTTAAAATAAATGTCATATTGTTTCAATGGATACATACAACTGCCTAATTTGTGTATTTTTATAGTTGCCAGAAGATTAGCTTTAAAGCAGAACTCCAAGCAAAATGGTTCTATACCATTGCAGTGGGGCTACCACTGCACTGCAAGGGTTAAGCGCTTGTTTTTGTGTAGGTGCTTAATCAAAAGTTATACTCACCTGACCCTAGCAGCTAGCTGGCTCCTAGACTGGTCCCTGGAGCCTCTCTCCCACTCCACTGCAGTGGTCTTAGGATCCTTGAGTCATCACGTTCTATGCAGTGTATAGGATATAACAAACCATTACTGCAGAAGAGGAGGAGATGGGCTTCAAGAACCTTATAACTTTTCTTTGCAGGGGTCGCCCCACTGCAAGAGTTAAGACAAATTCTGCCTGGATTTCTGCTTTAAGGATACCCATCTGCAAATGCCAGTTCTCTGCCTGTCTCTGGCCTTAATGTTTTCTAAGTCACTAACCAGGAACAAGCATGTTGTTAGTAAAGTCCGAGGAAAGTCAGAACTCTTAATGTGCATGCTTGTCGTGAGTTGACCTTACAGAGAGTGACAAGGACTCTGTATTTCTTCCAAGATCAACAGGTATTTACCGTACTCTAAAACTTAGCAATACATGTCCTGATTTTGGTCCAATTGCAGCAGAATCAGCTAAAATATGAGCTGTGGGTGGCCCTACATCCTCAACTAAACTCGACTGGGTGCAAAATTGTTGACTGAACAATGACAGCATTCTATCAGATGCAGTCACTGTTCAGGTATTCAGGCAGTTGCAAGTGTCAGTGGCTGTCTGAATACAATAGCATGCAGTGCAGATTCCACCATTCATGCTCTTTAGCGTTGATGTGGAAATTGTATGTTTTTTTTCTTGTTTGGTTTGTGGGGCTGAATGAGAGAAGACTAAGGGGGTTATTCACAAGGGAAAACCGCACCTCAGGCTAATCCTTCAGATCAATTTGGCTGCGGGAAGCCCTCGGTTCAGCCAAATTGAAGGACTGCTGTGCAGCAGCTTAGTAAATAACCTTGTAAGTGTATATAATAGCTAATGTTAGCCTGAAAAAAAGAAAACTACTGCAGGCACCACATCTAAAGACTGGTAAGTGCAATGGATTACATTTTTGTGCTTAGTATAAGGTATACTCTAAGCTGTAGAATACTATTTAGGCAAGGTCTGTTGTATATGAATTTATAATATTTAAAAGTATTACAATTGTATTTATATATAATTTTTTTTATAATTCAGCAACTTTGACGTGCAGCTTAAATCTAATTTTGCTTATTGGTGCACACCTCCATGAGCTGCATAAAGGTTTCTATAGATGTGATTTGTTGCAATATGATTGAAACCTTTTTCAAACCATATGCTTCCTGCTCCATATAAGTTAAATAGACTCATGTACCCAAAGTGTATTTACTTATTTAGTTATTGTTACTACATTTATTTGTTTACATCTAGTGCTGATGAACAGTAAAGCAGGTTTGGGAGGGCTCTTTTTACATTCAGGTAGGGGTTTGACATTCTGCATATATGGGAAGCCAACGTTGTTGGAGTTTAGAATGAGGATGAAAATAACAAGTTCCACGCTGGGCCGCAAGACCTCAGGTGATACAGTCTGTAGAGACTCATGTCTTTGAGAAATGGCCTGGCTAAGTCTTTTGACTGAAGTTGAGTTTGGCTTGAGTTGCAAAACAAGTGCTATGTCTGCTTCCTGCCATTTTCTCTTTGAGCTAAGGATTTTGCCTAATCAGCCTATGTCAGTGAACCATTTCCCTTGGTTTGGGTTTGACACTCTCCATGGTATGTTTACTTTATTAATGTATGCTCCGTGTATGGTTTTCAGCAGCAATAAGTTGGCAACCTATTAGAACATGTGGGTGCATTTCTCCCAGATGGTGTCTAGATGGAGATGCCTGCATGATGGGGAGCAGTAGTGACATTGTAATCAAACTAAGAACGCTTAGCTCTGTCATCCTCCATAAAGCTATATATGTTCTAAGATTATCTACTGCTATTAACTATGTGATGTACATCCACCCTATACGATTTTGCAGATACAAGGTCTACAGACCATTCCACAGGAATTGATCAAACCAACAGATAATTGCCTTTCTGTCCAATAGGCACACTTACTTACTAGTACGTCAAATGTGCTCATATAAAGAGTTGACTTATCTCAGTGTAATCACCAGAAAAATGGGGATGGCCCAGTCATTTTACAAGCCATCTAGCTTCCTCTCCACTGACAAGAGCTCATCTGCTGCAGTAATTATGTGTCTATAAACTAGCATATGACTGTGTCAGAATCATACAGATATTACATATTGAGCACATGTATTATACCTTAAATTTGTGCAGTAAATACGTTATGACAGAGGAAATGATAATAGCCTGGCACTGATAACAAGATGTCAACTGCCAGAGTCTACAAAGGCAACACACTCTCCCAGATTAATGTGCTGCTTTGTTGGAAGTAAATAATGCCAGATAAAGTGTTAATTTGTTTCCATATGCTTTGACCTGACTCCTCAAAGTTGGTGTTCTTTGCTGTATTTGGACAAGAGATAAAGTAAACGCATATAGGTCAGCCAAGCTTCTTGTGAACCACTTTATATGCTTTCCCTTTAGTATAAGACATGTCTTACTTTCATCAGTATGGTCTCTGATCTAGTTTGTGTGTTTTGAGGTAGTAAATATATTGACCTATGTGGCTCATTCATCCTAAGATTAGATAAGAAATATCACTTTAGAAACTTCTTTTGTTAGTTTTAGTAGGTCATATGAAGTGCATCAATTGTTTATTTTTTGCCTTCACTTGTCACTTGTAGATTGTGGTCAGTTGTTCATCAAGATAGTATCAATACTCCACTCTCTCTTTTCTATTTGTAGGTTCATTTCACCTGATACGAATGCTTCTGGATGAATATATTCTACTTGCTGTTGAGACACAGTTTAATAATGATAAAGAACAGGAACTTCAGAATCTATTGGATAAATACATGAAGAATGCAGGTGAACTAGAATGCTTTCAGCTTTCTAAATAACATTGAACATCTTTTCAGGCATAGCCTGTCTGGGATACTAGAGATAGCCTGAATTAGGAAGACTGGTAAACATCATATCATCATTCTGCCAGCTAAACCAATCATAAAGTGGTTGCACTTGAAGTGAACTAAATCTTGAGCTGGTGGATTCTGGATAGACTTGAAAGTACAGTAGACAGACTTTTTGGGAAAAATATTGAAAAGAAACCTCTCTAGAATGAGACAGACTTATGGATAATGCTGTCTTTGCATGGCAAAGTTCTAAGTGAATGCTTCACATGCTGGGAAATAAGGAAATCCCACAGCCTTAGCCAAACATATGAATAGAAAGTGCTATATTTTCTTCTGGTCCTTATCATTAGAGAAACAGTGGTTAAGGTAGCATGTGAAGCATAATGAGTCAACGAGAGTGACTTCACTAAGGTGCAAAGTACAGTTGGGGAGACTTTACACAATGCTCCTTTTAAAAATGTAAGCAAATAATCCCTTCCCTTATATGACAAATGACTTCTGTGTAGTACCATTTTTACATAGCAAGCCTGCTTGTGTGGTTGGAGTGCTAAAAATGTTTGTGATAGTTTAGTAAAATGTATGTATGTATGTATGTATGTATGTATGTAAGTATGTTTATCTATATATAGTGATATAGTGATATATAGATATCTATAGTATCTATATATAACGTAAGTTAAGAATGCTTTCAGAAATAAAGGTGTTAATAGTTTATTTTTATCAATTAAAAAAATGGAAAGAAAATGAACAAAAGAGAAATACAAATCAATATTTGGTGTGACCACCCTTGGCCTTTAAAACAGCATCCAGTCTTCTAGGTACATTTGCACACAGTTTTTGAAGGAACTCAGCAGGTCGGTTGTTCCAAACATCTTGGAGAATTAACCACAAATCATGGATGGATGTAGGCTACCTCAAATCCTTCTGTCTCTTCATACTCAATGATGTTGAGATCAAGGCTCTGTGGGGCCCAAACCATCACTTCCAGGACTCCTTCCCAGATAGCAAGGATAACTTGCCACAAACTTGTGTCAGGGTTAAATTGTAATTCTTGTTAACTTGCTGCACACATTCCTGGCAAGTTGTAGACTTGCAGAACACTTGCATCAGAAGTTCTAGTTGACACTTTTTGAATTTGTAGCAAATTTGCTTGGCAAGTCTACAGCAAGAGTCCTGCAGGTCTTAGCAAGAGCTCTGCAAGCTCGCTGGTCTGGAGACTTGCAATGCAGACTTGCTTTAATTGTGCAACAAAATTGTGAAGCTTGGCAAGTCTGCAATAGTTTAGCAAGTCATTTTCAAACTTGCAGCTCAATTACTTGCTATCTGGATTGTTCTTCTTGATGCTGAAGATAGTTCCTAATGACATTGGCTGTATGTGTGGGGTCATTGTCCTTCTGCAGAATACATTTGAGGCCAATCACACCCCTCCCTGATGGTATGTCATGTTGAATATCTACTTGTATTTCTCAGCATTGGGGACACCATTGATCGTGACCAAATCTCCAACTCCACTGGCAGAAATGCAGCTCCAGCTTTGCAAGGAACCTCCACCATGGTTCACTGTTGCTGCAGACACTGTTCTCCAGCCCTTCCACGAACAAACTGCCTCCTGCTACAGCCAAATATTTTGACTCACCAGTCCAAAGCACATGCTGCCATTTTTACTTCTTACTTTACAGCAGTTTTTCACACCTGTCTAAAATGTTTGCACAGTACTGTATTTCCAAACCTTCATTTTTGAAAGGGAATGGTTAGAACTTCTTTCAGATTTTTTTTCTTGTTGTCTGTGTTCCATTGAGGATATTTCCTTTTACTTCCTGAAGGCCCGACAGGAAGTGAGTGGAAATCTCTCAATGCCAAATGAAATCCCCTCATAGACAGTTGTCACCAGAAGATGTGCCCTTATTAGAAAAATTCCCCTCACTTCACGTTGCATTGTGAACATTACAAATGCTTTCAATTTTCCATCACTTTGGATCCCTTTCCCAATCGTTACCAAGAAGAAGATCTAACCATTCCCTATTGTATTGTATTCAAATAAAAAAAAAAAATGGCTTTAAATAAAAAAGACCTAATAGTCCTACCACTAGCTTTTACTTGCTCTTGCTTTTTGCATGCTATAAAAATAAAATAAAACAAGTGTGTGTTTATTTTTTAATTTCTTAACTTTTATTTGTGAGACATATTTATTTTTATCTACCTAGATGCAAGTAAAGCCACATTTACCGCATCTCCTAGCTCTTGCTTTCTTGCTAGTCGCAACAAATCTACTAGTCTTCCAAGTGAATCCACTGTCAAAAACGAGTGTCAGCAAGAACAAGGTTACCCAGCTATGTCACCAGACCAGCATGCTAGTCTTGTACGTGGACTGCACTCCTTTTCAAATGAAGATAACGAAAATATTCCTATTACAGGTAAAATTATAGATGCAATTAAATGTTTGAAGCCCAGCTGGCTTAGGGTTCCCCTAGAGCCAACTTAAAACGCCAAGACTATGTTCCCAGTCTATACTGTGCTGGCAGATTTCATTGTCCATTGTAAACTAGATTTGAACACTGTCTGTCCTAACAAAGTGTTAAAGATCTTGAGACTTGGGTTCTGCATTGTATGTCAGTGAGGGAAACTCAGCTATCCCCAAGATGTCCCCCTCTATTTTCTCTGTAAACTGTTCAGAGTAGTTGAATGCCCATTCCAAAGAAACAACTAGAAAAGTAAGAAATATTTTTAAAAATATATTTTTAGATATGCAAACATACAGTGGAGGTTTCTCAAATTAGATTGCAAAAGTGGAACTACACTTTAAAACTACTAAGGGAACATTGGAAAAAATGCACAAAGTCTGTCTCAATACAAGATACATAAAGCCACCAAGCATTCATAAAAATAAATAATAACTGTTACATAATGCAAGAAAATAAACAAATACAATTATTTTAATCATCTACATCATCATATAGTTATTTTGCACTTGATGTTGCCACCAATATGAATTTTTAGATTGGAAAAAATCAAATATTCGGTAACCTGAAATAGGTCTGTAGCAACCCCCTGGCACCCAAAGGCATGTGACAGGCCCCAGAAGCAGGGCGGCATGACATTTCACCCCAGAGAGTCCTTTTGTGGGATGCAAATGTAAAGTTGGTTTCCAGTCAAACTAATGGGTTTCAAAGGTTGTATTCCTTTAGCAACTTACATGGGAGAGAGGGCAAAGGGCTACAGACAACTAGGACAGTACAGTCTCCAGACTCACCAACCACTTCCCAGCTTCACTTTGCAGATGTCCTTTAAAATGATTGCAGTAATACTGTGTATGGCAAAACTTTAGCTAGTTAGCAAACATAATACTGAACTCCCAAGGCGAGACACCAGACTTCTTGTGAGGTCTAAGCCAAATTCCAGCTTCTCTGGCACCTCCAACAGATGAAGTTGTTCCCTGGTTTCCATCCATGGAACAGCTTCCCTCTTCACTGGCACCCCAGCTGGATTTTCATTCCTGACCAATTGCAGGCTGCAGGGCTGCTCAGACAGCACATAGAACTGATCACATCACATACCTTCCCCCAGACAGGAGACCTGGGGTAAAGAGACTCTCACAAGGTCAGCCCTGAATATGTATGCCCCCCCAGCATGCACCACTGGTCATGCACCTTCTAGTGATTGGCTAGGGAGAAACACCTATTTATAGGATATTCTTCTCTATTGCAAGATCACACCCAGCAGGCAGATACAAATTATAAGAGTGAGCTTAGGGGAAACCAAATGAGCACAGAACTCATATTTTAATCAGCTGGACTGGCTACAATCCAGCTGACTAAAATTAAGGTGTCACCCTGCTTATTGTAAGGCAGTACAGGTCAAAAGTCAGCTGTTGGACCCTCCCCAACATTTTTTATGCCAGAAAAGATGTTGGAATTATGTAAATGGGATGCCTAAGTGGAGAGAAGATCCAACACTTCTTTAAAGATGGTCATAAATCCATATTATTTAGAACATTGTATTTGCTGGTGTGAAATTTCAATTTGAATGTTTTTCTTTTTCAGCTAGCCAGAAATTAGAAATATAAAGAAAGTTAAAGTGCAACACTGGGAAAGCTTTTTTAAGTTTTTGAATAGAGTGAGGAAAGGTTAGAACATCTGTCTGGATTTTTTTGTCATCTGTGTTCCATTTGGAACCATTTCCCTTCATTTACAGGTGGCAGACAGATCATGGAAGTAAGGGGAAATCTCACAAATGGAAGCATAGACTGCATGAAAAAAATTTAGTTGCCCAGGAAACATTGAATACTTTATAATTCTAACTTTTTTCTATATCAAATTATATTTTTAGATCAGATGGACGTTACACAAAGTACAGCTCACTTGATGACTCCACCAATGTCACCCGCCATGTTAAATCGTGGTAGTGTTATAAATCAAGGACCGATGGCTTTGAGGCCTTCTAGTGCAGGCCAAGGAATATCTAGTCATTCTCAAGTTTCTTCATTTTCTGAGCCACTTTATCAGAACCTTCCTCAGTCTAACCAGAACTACTTCTCATCTGGTTCAAACTATCAAGCCATGTTCCGAGCTCATGCTCAGACTGCCTCTGGAGCTTTCCATCACAGATTGGATAATAGCCGCTACCCCCAGATAAATGAGCAGCAGGCTTCACGAGATTATTTCAGCAACAGCTGTGCAGTGACTTCATTTGGTGCTCGTCCTTCCTCGAATTATGGAAATTCATCAAATCCTCAAGATATACAAAACATGCAGTTTCTCAATGCTAGTGGATTCAATTTTTTAAATGGTTCTGTTTCTGGAAGCTGTCAAGGAGGAGCCTATTCTTCAAACACACCTAATGGTAGTGTTTACAAGTTACCTCAGTTATTGTGATTTATAATTTTTTTCCACAACTTATGTTTTTTTGGCCACAGATCTGATAATGGTAAATCCAAGAATTGTGGCTTTCAGCAGTTTTCAGGTCAAGAATGATTGTATGCATTTGAATAAAAATGTGTACCATTGTTTAAGGAAACCATTTAGGACCCATTCATACTTGCACATTGCTGCTCTATGTGCCATTAGTTGTAAATGGCATACCAATGCATTGTACAATAAACCACAACACACAGCGCAATGCAGTGCATTGCACTATGTGGCTTTGTTTTTTATATCTGTTATGGTATGTTGGCAGTTTATTCATGATGAAAGGGCTGCCTTAATGCAAAACACATTAACACATGCATATACCATGAGTAAACATGCTGCAAGAGAATGCTTGAGTGTGAATGGGCCCTTAGAGAAAAGATAATTTCATTGGAGTTGATTTACCAAAGGAGTAAAAAATTGCCATTGCCATTGCCATTGAACAAAATACAGCTAGATCCACTTGCAGTATTCAATTGTGTGCAATGTAAATTAAAAAAACATTTATGCTTGCACACGATTGAATGACTGAATTGAACACACAATATGAACATTCACTTTGCAATGAAAATCAACCCTATTGACTTGATGTCAATCAAAGAATTTATATAACAGAAATGTTACACTTTCAGTATGTACAGTCAACAAAATGATCTATGTGCAGGCCTGAAACAGTCAATGCAAAGTTAATATTATCTGTACCATCATGCCTGTTATAATCACTCACGCACCCCCATACATTAGAACTAGAGGTGCACCGAAATTAAATTTTCTGACCGAAACGTAAAATAAAAAAATTGTCAGGCTTGACAATTTTAAAAACTGTTTTAACATTTTTATTCTATTTTTCTAAACTTTTTAAACATTGTTTTATAGTTTTATTTATTTATTATAATTTTTATTAAATATTTATATATTTTAACTTTACTTTTGGGGGCTCTAGGAAATATCAGGGGTCTAAAGAAACCCCTGATATTTCCTTTTTGATATAGAAAAAGAGATTGAGGACACAGAGTCCTCAATCTCTTTTTCTGTAGCCCCTGTTATGAATGAACAGAAAGCCTCTATAATGAGTGAACCAGTTTTTTCATAACTTATGGAGATAGTATGTTTAACATGTCCACAATCATGAATGATCAGGAAGTGATATAGAGCATTTCCTGTTCATTCATAATTGGGGACACAGTAAACATATTATGTCCTCAAATAGTTACAGTCAGTGATCAGCTGATCACTTACTGCTTGTAACCGCTCTCCCTCCTGACTCGCTGTCACAGAAGGCCTCCTGTGATAGCTCACAGCTGTCTCCCTCCCGGACACCAATCTCCATCCTGATCTGTCACAGAAGGCTGAAATGTACAGAGCATTAGATAAACATGCAAACTCAGATAATCTAACAATGTTTTTTTATGCCTATATGGGTGGGAAGGGGAGCATAATTAGACACCTTCAATGCTAAATTATATCAGGAAAAAACAGTTGCAATTGTTCAGAAATGAGGATTGTCAACATACCTGTTTGATTAATTCACTAATTTGCATGAGATTTTTTTATCACCCATATTTTTCTTATCAAACCATTTATCGGGAATTTATATTAATACCATTAAATAATTGTTTAACTCCTGAAAGCCTTTATTGTTCATGAATTGGTAGTTTATATTATACAATTTGATTTTTGTCTCCACTATCACTAGCACTATCTAGCACTATCTCCTGCTCTTCTGAATGTTAACGTTTTGAGTTATTGCAGTGTTTTTTTATGTGATGTTAACTATGTTTTTATCTCCCTCTTCCTTTTTTATTTTATCAAAAGTAGAGCATTTTATATGTAAAAACAAATATGGCTGCCCCTCTGTGCATATATAATTACAAATTATTAGGTTCTTTTACACATTTATCTAAAACGGTATTGAAAAAACGATTGATTTCCTTTACCACCAGATCTTGTAAACATGCGGCAACTTCTGCTGATATATGTGACAGTGGCATACTTAGCATATCAGACACCTAGAGTGGATAATTTTTAACCTCCTTGCTCTGTATGACAAAATTGCTTTCAGTAGTAATCAAAAATGAAACAAGTAATAGTTGTCAGAAAAGAAATGATGACAATAAAAATTGTAGTGTCCCTATACAGTGGTGGTCACTGGAGAAGTGCCCTCTTACATTATTAGTCATTGGTGGTCACTGTAGCATGGTGTAGTTTTTATTTTATTTATTTGGTTTCAGGTGGAAAGTGTTCTCTTATGTTGGTTGTCTGGGAGAGGGGAGCAATCTTACATTGGTGGTCGTGGCAGGAAGAGCCCCCCTTACATGAATCATCCATGAGAGGGAGTATAACCCTTGAATAGATGGTCAGTGGAAAGAATGTCCTGTTACATTGGTGGTCATTGGGAAGAATGCCCATGGCATTAGCAGTTAGTGGGAGGAAGAATATCCATTACATTGGTAGTTATTGGCAGAAAGAATGTCACTTACATAGGTGGGTAGTGGAAAGAATGTCCTGTTATATTTTTGGTCAGTAGGAAGAATGCTTCTTACATTAATGGTTAGTGGAAGGAAAAATGTCCATTACATTAGTGGTTATTGGCAGGAAGATTACATTTTTACATAGAAAGCGCATAAGATGAAGAATGGCTCTTACATTAATGGCCAGTGGGTAACATTTCCCATTATGATGATGGTTAGTGGGAAGCTTGCCCCTTACACTGGTGTTCAGTAGAGAAGGGCCCCTCTTTAATTCATGGCCAGTTAGAGAAGGGACCTCTTACAATGGTAATTAGCGACAGGAAGAGTTCCCCCTTACATATGAAGTACATCGTTAGAAGAATGCACCAAACATTGCTGATCTGTTGAAAAAATGCACCTTAATTTTGTTGTCGGGGGCAGAATGCCTCATTACATTGTTGGTCAATAGGGAAAATTCCCCTTGTATAGGTGATCAGCGGAAGGAAGCATGCCTCAACAAAAATAGTGGTAGTATATTTTATCTTGTTAGCCACAGATTAAGGCAGAAAGTTTGAAATTTAGGTGATATCCTTCATTGGCTAACTTAAAGTGATACTAAACTCAGGAGTTAAATCCAAAACTTGCATTCAAGTACCTTAACTAATAACAGAAATGTAGCTTATTTGTGTATCACTCTGCTGTAGATCTTCCAATTATCTCTAAATGTGTGCTGTCCTTCCTTCTGGAGGGTGGCTACTTTTAATCCCCAAGGTCCCTGTGTTTGTTATAAAGTAGTCACCAGGACAATGTCAGAGATGATTTGGGGATCTACAGCCAACTGATACCCAAATATTTTTGTTAATAGTTAGTGTACTTGAATTCATTTTTAAGATTTAAAGGAGAACTATCGGTGAGTTATTTTCACTCATCCTCATAGTTAGAGCCGACCTGTGACAAAGAAGCTGTCACAGGTCGACTCTATTGATTGAGAAGTTAGTAGAAACATGCAGTGACTGTCAGTCACCGCTCCCTGCAGGGATTCCCCCCTCCCCTCTCTGATCCTCCAGTGCTGAGTGAAGGAACGAATAGGTGAGGGGGAGGAGCGGGCACAGCTGGCTCTGCCTCTAGATAGACAGAGCCAGTTGTTACTCACGCAGCTTAGAGGATCACAACAGTATTGTTTCCTTTCCTGATCCTGATCCAACCTGTGTTGGTATATCACTGTTTTAAGAAATGTGTTCCGGTTGGGCATTTTTGTCTGTGGTGTCTGAACAGATCCAATTGCATTTTATGGCCTGTCATGAAAGCTGTCATGGTATGTGGGATCGTCGGTGGGTTTTCTGTAGATGGATGTTTACAAACGGGTCCTTTCATACATATTGTACCTTCCAGAAAATGCATTTCTGTTTGTGAGCGGTTTAATGTAAGTTTTATTGAGTAGTGGAAGTTGTTGTAGTTCATGTGAATTTGGGAAAGATCCTCCTCACTTACAGTGCAAATAATCAATTTATCATCAATGAAGCAAAAGTCAGACAGGGCATATAGATAGGTACTCTACCTGTATTTTAGCCCAACAATCCCATTGTCAATCCCATTTGCTGCATGTAGATGTTCTGGCCAAAGGAAATTAGTTGATGGTAATAATAAACTGTATCAGCTGAGTAATTAGTTTATCATGCTGGTCTAGATTGTGACATGCTGCAATAACAAATGTGGAAATGCATTATTAAAGGAAGTATGTGCATAGACTGGTGACCTATGTAGCTGAACAAGGGCCTGGTGACTGTTTGCTCTGGTTCTGTCTTTTTTAGAAGGGGGAGGCATTCCCACTAAACCCATACTCCAGACATTGAGGTTTTATTAAAGGGAGCTGTAGCGCCTAGCAGAAATTTTGCTATTTAAAGGTAGCATCTGGCAACTAATAATGCCTATTAACCAGAAAATAAATCATTTTGGCTGGCTTAGGCACAGAAAAGGACTCAACAAAGCCTTATATCTGGTACCGTTCATCAATTTGATGCCAAACTGCAGCAGGTAGGATTTTTTTAAAGGCATCTCATAAAATGCATTGGTCAGAACATCACCACTGTAAACAGTAGCACTAAAATCACATAAATTCCCCAATGGATACAGCATGTGATATGTCAATTATTGTACATTATATGTTATTGTTTTATCAATTAAGTGTATTTTAATTAACTGAAGGATTTATTGCATTAGTTAGCTGAATTTTCCATGTGTGCATTATATTGTCAATTCTTGTATTATTTATATGTACAAGTCAATTCTTGTGTGTTCAAGTGACCATATCACTATGAGGTCCAAACTAAAGTAAGACTATGCTGTAAAAATAGATGTTATATACCTTCCTTTCTGGTAGTAGATAAACTGATAAAATACTGACCACTTAGAAATAAAGGCTTTCACTAGTTAAATATATATTTCAGTCTGAAAAGTAGTGATTCCAAACCTATGGGATATTTTGGAATGTGACTTGAATGTTGTTACTATAGCATAACCGTATGATAATGATAAAAATAATGAACATAGCATATTGAATTGACACTATGATCTTCATTATCAGGAGCTATAGGTAAGGATTTATATACTGCACCATGCTATAGCTAATGGAATCACAAATTGCTAGAAAGATGTATCCACGGTGTAAGTTTACCTAACCCTACCCATCATCCATTAAATAAGGTTTAGATGATAGTAAACGAAGAATGACCAGCTAGAGGAAAACTGGTGCTCTGATATGTTTTTAGTCATGGCCTGGAACTTGTTTACTACACTGTAATTTTTGGTGAACTGTAGCAGTTTTTGATCTCCAGCAGCTGCATTGCAGCATAGAAATATTCATTTTTGGCTTTTGCAATTAAAGATGTTGTTTTTTTTAAACTAAAATAGTTGAGAATTTACACTTTGCAAAGTGAATTCTTAACTAGCTTTGTGAATCAATCACGAGTCAATCATGTGCAGGTACAAATTGTGTTTTTTCTTTTGAACAGAATTATTTCTTTTAATTTACTTTAACAAACAAGTTCAGTTTAGTAAACCCTTCATTAAACAATACATTTCTCCTTCTTATATCATGTCTGCAAGAATTGAAGAAGCTAGTGGGTAGATGTATTTAACTTCCCAGATCAAGGCAAGTTAATTGTGACTAACTACTACTGCTAGCTTCTTGTCTGCAGTTACAGTACAGATGTAGATAATTGTTAGAGAAATGTTCACAATGGCCCAGGTCTGTGGTAACATCTTTCAATATATATGTGCAAAAATTTTACTATATCAAAGGGATATTGGGGTATATTCACTAAGCTGCCGTAGGCAGCCGAGTGAACGACCGACCTGAAGCGAAGTGAGGCTGAAATCAGCCGTACATCGGGTGGCTTTGCGTGGCTTTGGGTCAGCCGAACATGCTCAGCATGTTCGGCCGACCCTAAGTGCAGAAGGTGTTCGACTCAGCCGATCCAACATCTGGACCGGCTAAGCCGAACCTCCGGCAGGCTACTCGCTGCTGTTCGGTCTATTCTTATAGATGCCGAACAGCAGTGAGTGAATAGCCGAATGCCGCTGAGCGGCATTCGGCTCAGCTGTTCTGCTCGCTCCCTCTGTGGGACCGAGCAGAACAGAAGAATAGTGAGAAAAGTACAAAAAAATAAATAGAAAAAGATTGTGCGGAGCTAGCAGTGACAGCTAGCTCCACCTAACTGTTTTCTATTGGCGGGCAGTTTTGCTGCCGTCAAAAAACAGAAAAAAATAAAATTTTCGCCATAGGCCTTTTCAATAGCCAATAGAAAACTAGCTATTGCACCCGCCCTCTGCTGCTGTCAATCACTAGAGGGGACCTGATGGAGAACTGCAGGTCCCCTCTGCTGATTGACAGCAGCAGGGGGGGGGTGCAATAGCTAGTTTGCTATTGGCTATTGCAAATTGAAATAGCCAATAGGAATCTAGCAATGCATTCCTAAAGTTAATTTTTTTTTTTTTATTCTGACGACGGCCAAAGGCTTGAAGAGCTCGGGAGAGTTAGGCTGTCTGGAGATCAGTGTCCCTGGTTAGTTGGTAACCATGGACGCTGATCTCCCTGCAAGTGGCCGGAGCTAGCCAAAAGGTCACGGCTGGCTCCGCCCAGCTGTCAGAAGCAGGCTGTCGGCTGGTCGTCGGACAGCTTCGGCTTTCACCTCGGCTCAGTTGAGCCAAAGCATATGCGTTCGGCTCGACTGAGCCCCTCAGCCGACTTTGGGAGCTGTACGGGCTACAGTAAATAGCCTGTACAGCAGCCCTTCGGTTCTACTGAACCGAAGGGGTCCTGAGGCCGAAGCTAGCCGAGGGATCAGTCGAAGCTACGGCTAGATCCTTCGGCTGCTTCGTGAATAGACCCCATTGTGTTTTAAAAGTATTATTTGCATGTTGAAAATGATATATTTATATCTAATGGTATATTTATCAGTCATTCAAATTACTTGATATTTGGTATTTTTATATCAAAAGCCTTCCTGTGGTTTAGCATTTGATTGGCTTCTTGCAACTAAAAAATACATTTTGTTAAAGTGACACTAAACTCATTGGAATTAAATCTTAAAAATGCATTCAAGTACCCTAAAATGTAGCTTATTTGTAGCCACCCCTCCAAGCTCACTCCAGTGTTAGACCTTAACTACAATACAAATGAGCTAATTGAACAGCAGATTGTAGCCCACCATGGGAGCGAGCTTGGAGCGGTGGCTAGGACACAAGGAACATGGGCAACAAAAGTAGCCACCTTCTAGATGGAAGGACAGTGTCACCACCAATTCAGAGATGATTTGAGGATCTACAGCCAAGTGATACACAAATAAGCTAAATTTTAGGGTACTTGAATGTATTTTGTTAGATTTAACGCCTAAGTTTAGTGTCACTTTAAGTGGTGAAACCTTTCCAAGCTTGTACAGCAGCTCCAATTGTTCTTGATATTAAATATATCTAAAAACATAATGTTCCTATTTCAGTTTTAAAAGTTGCAAAAGGTTAGAACACCTTAGGTTTTTATTTTTGCCTGTGTCACCTTTATTTGTCCTGATGACTATTGTCACTGGTACTAAAAGTAAGGGAAAATCTGACATTTTCAGTTGTCCCTGGGTCGGGAATAGAGGGGAAATCATGGAAAATGATTTGGGGAAATGGGGACACTTGTCCTTTATGACAACTGCCTAAGAGAGGGTTTTCCTTAGTTTATAAATCTCCTCTTACCTCCTGTTTTACACCAAGATAGGAAATAATTGATTTTTTATCTAAAATGGGACACAACCACAAAAAAAACTTGTCAGGTATCTTAGCAGTTACCTTTTCTATACAAAATTTAAACAAAGAAAAATGTTTGGCTTTAGATGTACTTCTAAGTTTATTTGATATGATTCAAGTGTTAGTGCTTTAGATACTTTAAAAAAGTTTAACATATCATTCTGAAAGACGCAAATGAACCAGAATGTGAGGGAATGTAAAATCGAATCTGCTACAAATGATTATTGTCCTCTTTTTTTACAGGGTACTATGGAAATAATTTAAACTACTCAGAGTCCCATCGACTTGGATCAATGATAGATCAACATGTATCTGTGATAAGCAGCATTAGTTCTATACGTCCATTGCATTCTTTTAATGATATCCATGATCCACTAAATATTTTAGAGGACAGTGGAAGAAAGCAGTTGGGATCCTATTATACAGCTGCATCACCTGCTACCCTTTGTCGCAATTCAATGGGTAAGTAAAAAGCCAAGATTATAGCTGTATAGCTAAATTAGAGAAATCCATAGAGTTAATCCATTAAGTTTAATAAAAAATATATATTAAGAAAAAAAATCCTTGCATTTCTAGAAAACCAAAATTTCATCCAGAGAAAGGCAAAAAAGGCAGAAAGGCAAAAAACCCTTATAAAATGTGGTCCAATCTTTCCTAATCCTTCCCAAAAAATCAGTTGGATAACTCTCTGCTTGAACTATTGGTATTTTGTGTTTTCAGAGACACATCCATAATTAAAGCAACTTAAGTCTGGTAGAATCACCTGTGGAAGACAATTAGTACAGTTAAGAACTGTTACCGTTTCTTCCACTTGTTACCTTGAAATGAAAAATGTTATCATATTGACCATTTCTATATTTATATATTAGGTTCTCATAACCTCCTTTAATTTTCAAGGGTGAATAAGTTAAGCTTAGCTAGTCTGTTCTCACAACTAATGTTCTCCATGCCCCTTATTATCTTAATTGGCCTTCTCTACAGTTCCTTCGGTTTACCAACATATTTTTGGGGGCAAGTGCCTAAAGTTGAAACTTACATTCAACATCAGATTTACATAAAGTGACACTAAACTCAGGAGTTAAATCTTAAAAATGCATTCAAGTATCTTAACTATTAACAAAAATGTATCTTATTTGTACATCACTCAGCTGTAGATCCTCAAATAATCTCTGAATTCACCCCGCCACTGTTTCTTCCTTCTGCTTTTGTTCCCCATGGTCCCTGTGTGTGTTGTAAAGTAGCCACCGCTCCAAACTGGCTCCTGTGATGGACTATAATTTCACCTTTTATTTGACTAATTTGTATTGAGATTGTAGTCCATCACGGGAGTGAGCTTGGAGCGGTGTTCCCCATGGGGAACAAAAGTAGCCACCCTCCAGAAGGAAGGACAGTGTCAGCAACAATTCAGAGATTGTTTGAGGATCTACAGCCAAGTGATGCACAGATAAGCTACATTTGTTAATAGTTAAGGTACCTGAATGCAGTTTTTAGATTTAACTCCTGAGTTTAGTGTCACTTTAAGCTTTTATAGGAGTAAGCTGATGGTGCTGATTAACTAGCAAAGTGGATGTTTGTAAAGAAGCTGAAGCTGTATACACTTTGAATACCCAATCATGTGCCAGAAAAAATAAAAAGACCAGCTTTAAATGAAACCCACAGAATTTCAGTGTTGGTGAAGTGATCAGTATGGTGGAGCAACTCCATGTGGCATGCCTGTGTGCTAAATAATCGTTCATAGTCAAAACAAAAATATCGTGCAGTGGAAAAAAAAGGAAATGTTAAGCTTTGGCTCCAATCCACTACTAGCAAAGTCAAAACCACTAAAAAGGCCTTATGCTTTGTTGCCTGAATAATAGGTCAGTCTAAAAAAAAAAAGGAGTAAAACTTGGGGTTTGCTTCCTCATGAATAACACCAATCACTAACTAACTAATACTTACACCTATCACTATTTAACCTTAAAGTGTAGCAGTGGCCAGGGTATGGACATTTAGGTATTTGCATATTCTAAGCACCCCTTCAATATTCTAAGCTGTCTTCCCCCCATAAGTTAAAGGTTGGGAGGCTGGGAGGCTGCCAAGTCACTACTGGGAGGAGGAAAGGAGGAGTTGCTGAGAGAAGGACTAATAAATTCTTTTAAAGGACATATAAGTGCTTGCTTGCCCATAGCAAGGCTACAAGTTTATCTAAATTATCAAGTTTCTATAATGAAGTTTCTTACTTTTTTCTCCAGCTTCAAATATGCAAAGTGTTATATCTGCTTCAACCTCTCAATGTATGTATGGAACGGCGGAACAATACACCCCTCAAGAATCATTGGATACTCATGTCCAGTCTGGTGACATGAGTGAAATGGTGTCCTCTTTACCTCCAATCAATACAGTCTTCATGGGAGCTGCTTCAGGAAACACATAGGACAATAAGTTTAAGTCACCCTTTACACTAAAGTGTAATACACCCTGTCCACATTCCTGACCAATTTGGTATTGTAAACTGGGTAAATGAGACAAAAGGGTTGATTTACCCAAGGTAAATAGGCTGTTCACTTTGCAAGGGAATTTTCCCTTAGCTCATGGAATGCAATGAAGTTCTGCTGACTTCCATCAATGAATCATGTGCAACAAAAAATACTGTTTTTTTTTCCTTTCCTATTTTCGACACATTCACTACGGGGTCTATTCACAAAGCTGCTGAAGGATCCAGTCGTAGCTTCTGCTGATCCTTCGGCTTGCTTCGGTTGCGGGAGCCCTTCGGTTCGATTGAACCAAAGGGCCTCTGTACCGGCTATTCACAATAGCCCGTACAGCTCCCGAAGGCAGCCAAAGGCATATGCTTCGCCTCGACTGAGCTGAAGTGACAGCCAGAGCGGGGCGAACGACTGGCCTTAGGCGGGCCATACGTCACGCAAATGACAGCTCAGCAGAGCCAGCCGTGATTCCTGCCCAGTTGTAATGACAGATCAGTGTCCCCAAATGACCTGGGCACGCTGCACTGGGCAGAGCCGGATGTGATGTCACTGCTAGCTCCATCCAATTGTTTTTTTATTTGTATTTATTTTTTTTAAATCTTTATTTATTTTTTTAAAATGTATTATTTATTTATATTTTTAAACTTTTTAAACACTTTTTTCACTATTTGCTGTAGCCGAGCCGAATGCCGCTCTGCAATCATGTGCAACCAAAAAACATTTTTTTTCCTTCCTATTTTCACCACATTGATTAAGCTAAGGGAAAATTCACTTGCAAAGTGCGCTGCGCCAACCTGGGCTGTGTTTCAAAGCTGAATAGATATAGTTTGGAAGCTGATGATTGCTATCAAAGCAGGGACATAGAATTTCTAGAGCTTTATACGTGTGCATTTTCAGACTTTCGTACCTGTTGGTAAATATTTGACAAGACTGTTTGAATGGAAAATATTGTTTATCAGACAACTGTACCTAAGGTACAACTTGTCATTTTAGGCATGCCCCTACCCTTGAGTGCAGCCCACCTAGTCCAATACTTACCGCTGCCCCATTCTGGCAATTTTTCCAGTAAGGTCCTGCCAAGAGCCATACAATGTTTCTTCAGAAAGCATCCTTGCCAAGTTCTCTTCATCCTGCACATTTGCAATGCAGCCCTGTTCATTCTATGGGGAGCCATACTTGGGGTGGCCTCCAGTGGTCCTGCAGAGTATGACTCTTCCTATAGCAATGAATGGGGCTGCAGCACACATGCATAGGATGAAAAGCAAACAGCGATGATTTCTGCTTTTTGTGTGCAGGCCCAGTCAGGGCAGAACAGTGAAGATTGCTGGAACAGGGCAGAAGTACGTATTATACCAGGTGGTCTGAACTTGGGGTGGGGGGATATGTCTTAAAGGACAAATTGTAGCAAAGATACAATTCTCCTCTGCATTTACACCATTGTGTTCTGGCAAGACAAGTGTATCTAAAGCCATTGTTTTCAGTTTTGGGGGTGTGGAAGGGTTAGAAACTCTCTCAGATTTTTATTGTTGCCTGTGTCCCCACTGGAAAACTTTACCCTTTATATCCTTTATATTTATTGTTGAAAACATTGTCACTGTGACTGAAAGTGAGGGTAAATCTAAAATTTTGAGTTGGCAAATCTTCCAATATGACACGTATTCAAGTGGCTGTTGTCTAAGAGTTTCCTTTACTTTAGAAAAATATCCTCTCACTGTTGTGTCTTTGAGACAGGAATTGAAGGAAATTCTGCCCAATAGGACAACAACAAAAATCTTTTTTACATTTTAACTATTTCCTTCACTCTTCAAAACGAAAAAAAATAGTTTGGTTTTACATATACTTTAAGGTTAATAGAGATCTGGCAGCTGGTGCTAGTTTTCAAAACTCGTAATTAGAACTTGTATAACTTTATACTGGTGTTTGTCCCACTTTTGAAGGGTTTTTATGGCTACTGGTTGACGTGTCACTTTCAGTTTTGATTAAGAAATTAAGCAATGTTGTTTGTGGTAACACCAGCTTGAAACTATTGGATTTCAATTTCTCAAAGTCATAAAAGTTAAGAATGCATTTCTGGTTGTCTGCTATTGGTTACTGCACTTTCCGTTTTTGCACTTTACATTGGTTTGTGAAATATTTATCCAGTAACCCTAGTTTGCAGTTTTAGTCATTATGACTGCATGCCTCCTATAATTGAAAAAAGTATGTTGATTAAAAAAAATAAAAATAAATAACCATGCCTAGCCAGTATGACACAGGTATTTCTGTTGCTTGCTTGTTTTCTGCCTTGGCACCACTCATTATTATGAAAAAGTAGGCTGAAAATGAATCACGCCACAGACAGAGGTCAACACCTGTAGTTTGTTGATCTCTTCACTTGTTTGTACAGTGCAAAAGTTTCATCCTGCTTCTTCATAGCTGTGAAGAACTAAGTTTGTAAAGGACAAAAAAAGCACTGGTGTAACATATATTAAAGTGACACAAAACTCGGGAGTTAAACCTTAAAAATGCATTGAGGTACCTTAACAGTACTGTAGCTTATTTGTGTATCACTCAGCTGTAGCTCCTCAAATCATCTCTGAATTCATACTGACACTGTCCTTCTTTCTGGAGGGTGGCTACTTTTGTTCCCCATGATCCCTGTGTGTGTTGCAGTCACCGCTCCAAGCTCGCTCCCGTGATGGGCTACAATCCCATGTTTAGTTTACTAATTTGCATTGAAATTGTAGTCCATCATGGGAAGGAGCTTGGAGCGGTGGCTATTTTACAACACACACAGGGACCATGGGGAACAAAAGTAGCAACCCTCTAGAAGGAAGGACAGTGTCAGCACCAATTCAGAGATGATTTGAGGATCTGCAGCTGAGTGATACACAAATAAGATAAGTTTTTGTTGATGGGGTACTTGAATGCATTTTTAAGATTAAACTCCTGAGTTTAGTGTCACTTTAAGTATGTGCCTTGATGTCATGTCGTATATTATTTCATGTTGCATTGAGCTGGTCATGGTTGTAACCTCTGTAGCTCATGTTTAGCCACTGATGTCTCTGCCTTTTGCATATTCTGAACCTTCAGAAAGACTCACTTTACAAGAAATACCATAATATTGCAGCATAATTTGACCATTTTGGTTGTATATATTTTTAATATTTGTACATGTTTGTCTAACTGTAAAATATATGTATATTTAGACATGTATTATATTATCAATATTTATTATTGCTAAAGTAAAAGTTTACTAGGATTTACTTGACATAGCGTCAGGATATATTTTCTACCTCCTATAGAATTGTTTACAAATTCATACAGTAAATTCTCTCTTATCACTCTTGTTTATTAAAGTATGTTCTTTCAACTTGAATGGCAGTCTGACTTATTTCTATGTTATTTCAGTATATAATTGTCTATAAATGTTTACAGGTATCTATCTACACCCTCATAACCGATAGGACTGATAGAGATGTTACCTTTAAACAGTTCTCCCTAAAGTGTGTAAGCTTAGGGGTTGACCACAACTGAAGGTCTAACTATTAGTAGTCAGTCAAAGTTAAGTAGACTTGTTCTGTAGTGTTGAAGGTGTCTTGCTACTTATTCAAACGGCTTCCACAGTTCTAGTTCCAGAGAAATGTCTTCAACATTACAGAACAAACCTAGTTGAATGTGGCCCACGGCTATTAGTTATACCGTGACATGGAAAAATTAGACACAAATGACAGTTGTGTTATTTTAAATACATAAGGCAGCATTATGTTAAATTAGGTTATTAGTATGTATATATATAT